GACTAATATTTTAAATTCTGTTGTCTGCCATTCAAAGATTAGTTGTTTAAGCTAAACCTAAATTCTGGGACTTTTTAAACAGAAAGTTGTTATAATATCTATCTATAATATCTACTGGTACTTTGTATAGTTACATATATGGAATTAGTAGTGAGCAAGCCACAATGTTGAACTTTCTAAAGGTGATATTAATAAACACAGCTTTGCAGTACATTTTAGGTATACTTTGCATACTGAAGGCTGAGAAGGACACCTTGTATTTTCCATTATGACACTACAGAAACAAATCAGCTTGGAGCTACCGAGCTGATTTCATTAATTTTGTTACAAGTTAATAATTATATATATTTTATATACAGTATATACACTCATACAAACACCCAATTGAAAAGGATAGATGAACTAGTACCCTTCAAATATTTTAAACTACCATTCCAAAGAGCTGGATAGGATTATTAATCTGTAGACAAAACATTTGGAGGACACTAGCCTGCTTACCCTAATCTAAATTCCAGATATCAGCAGCAAGCCATGCGAACAGCAGCATTTTTTGTAATGACAGAGCTGATACATCATCTATCTAAATTCAAAATTATTCTTTTTCAAAAGGTCACTACAAAAGGTCACTACAGAAATTAAAATGCAACATTGCCTAGGTTCAAACATATGACATATATATGCTTGACAGTGATTTTACCTGGAACTATTACTGTTGGTTTTCTTGTCACTCTTCCACTCTTCTTCATGGGTAGACAAACTCAATCCATCACTTTCTTCTGCTTCCTAGATTAACAAATAGTTTATGAATCCTAAACTATATTCCAATTTAAAGATGACATTCTTCATTACATTGCTCCTATTTATCACCACTATTTATCATTTACTAATTAAAGTAGAATATGACTTATCAATCCTTTTGCTAGCATCTCTTGCCATGCTGAACACCTTACATATTAGGCCTACTGAAAAACACGAAATGTATACAAGTCATAACATAAAAATCTTTCTATTCTATATATGGTTCAAATAGAATATGCACAGAACGTTCGTTTTTAAATAATTCAGAATAACTGAAAAAAATTGGGAGTGACCTTTTAGGCCCTCAAATTAAACCCTGCTCAATGCAGGAATTCAAATTAAAGCTTCTGTTGAATACACTTAATGAAAGGGAGACTATCATCTCCTTAAGTAATTTATTTCAGTGTCAAACTGTTCTTAGGATTAGGAATTGTTTCCTAATTTAATCAGAATTTGTCTTAAGATCAGAAACAAAAGTACAGGTAACATAAAACTATATTTTTGGTCACTGAGGATAGAGCTAACAGAAAAGGGTTAACTCTACCTTTTCAAATTAGAAGACAGGATTAAGATTTATCCCATGGAGGCAGTTCAAATAATACAGATTATCGCTTCTCTTATCCCTTTAGCTGCATCTGAGCTGACAAGCAATAATCTGCATCTATTTTTAGCAAAAAACTGTGAATAGGAAAGAGGAGATAACAAATCTAACATCTAAAAGGGGGAAGCAGGAACAGCTTCAGGAGGCTTATTAGGACCTGGTGATTTTCCTTCCTTGCTTCTCCCTATTCCACCAGGCTAAGTCTGTTTCTCTCACCACTTTGCTCACCAGAGATCCTACTCAGAATTGTGGTAGTTAACTGGGTGCTAGAATAGCCATGAGAACAGCTTTGCTTTTATAGACATGGACAACAGGATCATCGTGTGGACACACTGTTAAGTGTCCCTTGGGAGTCATCTGCTGCTCAACTAAGATGCAGACCACAGACATGGGGGGTAGATCAAGACTCAACTAAGACCAATTATAGTAGCCTTTCTGGTTAACTCCCTAGTCCTCTGTAATGGATAAAACATGGCATTTGTTTGGACTGTTCTTTTCTCTCATTAAAAAAAAAAAAGACTGATAGGCATTCTACACTAACCACTGCAGGCATACATTATAGTGGTGGAATCCCTCAGAGATGACACTGATATCCTGTCACCCATGCCTAAGACAGAGACACAAGGCTAATGAGACAAAGACTTCTGAACATCAGGGTCTGGCTTCTCTGGGAAGCACAAAGCTTGGTACTGATGAATAGGGTGGAGCTATATTTAGAGAAGAGTTTTTTGCTGCTGTAGGAATTCAAGGTACAAACAGCTTTTACTTTCTCTTGATTCCACTTATTTGGATTATTTGAGATTACATTCTTAATGGAGGAAATGTAAGAGGAAAGGCACCATGATAAGAAAGCACAGTTCCTCCAAGGTTGAACAGTTATTCATGAACAAGTGGCCTAAGAAATTGAAATTACAAACAAACAAATGGGCTTGATGATAGTTAAGATAGTGGTACAGTTGAGAAAACTTTTCTGCTTCCCTTTCAATTTAATCAAAGAGGATATACACTGAAGTTCAGGTGTATTCTTACGGACAGGTTTCTTCCATTGCTGACGTGGAGGAAATCAGAAGTACATTATAGGATATGGGAGACTATCTGTCATCTACTCAGCATTTAAGCAACCTTAACAAGAAACATTTACTGGTCTGTTCTTGATGTTATTCATGGTCCCAAAGAAAAACAGGATGTGGAAGGCTGTTTTGAATTTCAAAGCCGGAACACATTCATCAGACATTGGACATTAAAAATGGAGATACTGACATCTATAGCAGAGACTGTTCTTTCCAACAATTTCCTGGCATCAATACTTCTGTCTAATGATACAAATCTTCACATTCCCATCAGATCACAGCACAAGTTTCTCAGGTTTACTTATGGTAATAAACTATTTCAATTCAAGGTTCTCCCTTATAGCCTTGCCTCAGCCCCAACAGTTTCCTGAGATACTAGTTACACTCATTGGATACATGCACTTACTTCTTTTCTTGTATTTACAGACATGAACAACAGGCTCATCCCCTCCAGTACTTACACAAACATGGTTTCATTATAAACCAGGCTGATGTTGCATTTTGGGGGAATAACAGACACTCAAAAATAAGATATTTCTGTCTCAAGAACTCAGTATAAAGATACAGACTGCAATTCAGAAAATCCTGGCATCAAGGAAGTGGTTTCTCACAGTCTTGGCAAAATTACAACACATGATCATTGCAGCTCGAGACTCCATGCTAGTGGTTTCTGCTGTATTTTCAGGAGCAGCTTGCCTTAAAGGTGGGCTTGGTACTAACTGACCTGAAAATGATGGTCAGCTGCCTATGATGGTGGTTGGTGTCAACCAATCTGTCTCAAGGAAATGCTCCTAAGAAAAGTCTGCAAGGACCAAATCACCACAGGTATCAGCCTTATGGAATGGGGAACTCAGTTCCTTGGACACTCATCTTGGGTTAGAGGACATGGTCCAGACAGGAATCAAGGCTTCCCATCAATCAACTGAAGATGAGGGAAGTATGACTGCCAGTCCCTAATACAACCACCACACTGCTAACAGACAATGTTTCCATAAAAGTGTACCTAGACAGTCAAGGGGAGAGGGAGAGGGAGAGGGGAGTCAGAGGCTCCAATTAGAGGTGCCTTGCCTTATTGGTGCAATATATGAAGTGGACCCAAATTCTGTCTGCAGACTGGTTAAACAGATAATTTCTCAAGCAGAATGAATGCTGACTCTAGGGATGTTTCAGAAAATTATGGATAGGTGGGAAGACCCACATTTTGCAGTGAGGGAGAACAGGAAAGTGATTAGGTTCTTCTCTCAGTTTCACCAGTGCTCTGAAAGCGCCTCGACCACAGGGTCTGCTGTATGTGTTCCCATTTGTCTCAATTTTAGCAAGGATGATGTGCAAGATGAGAATGCTAGCCACGAAGTGATCTTGATCACTCCTCTTTTTCGGCCCATAAAACTCTGTAATTAATATTAGTATAAATGTAGAGAGTAAGGAAGATGACCTTGTCAAATATATGCAGGCTCCGTTACCTAGACTAAAGAGGTTAAAGCATTTTTTAAGTCCAGAACATTCAGATAATGTTTAGAAATGACAGACATCTCCCTAATCCATTGAACTATAAGTGATACAGCACAATCAAACTTGCAAGATTTTGTTATTACAGGTAGTCCTTGACTTACAACCATTTGTTCATTGATCATTCAAAGTTACGATGGTGCTGAAAAAATGGACTTATGACTGGTCCCTGAACTTACAGCCGTTGCAGTGCCCCTGTGGTCACATGATCAAAATCTGGGTGCTCGGCAGCCTACCCACACTTATGACCGCAGGGGCACTTCAACTCCCACTACCCACCTATCTCGCTCCCTCCCAGACAGTTGTGCTGTGTCCCAAAAACAGCCCAGCTTTCTGAAGGCAGCAAGGCGCTTCTGCTTCAGCCATGGCAGTTGGGCATAAAAGGCGAAAAGTAGGTGCGGGGAACTGGGAGAGAAGGCAGCTGGACGAACAAATGCTTGCTGGGGCTTCCCACACGCTACAACTTGCTGGGACTTGCCGGGCGGCTGAAGCCTCCAGGGGCAGTTGAGGCTTTGTACTGTGCTGTGGCTCAGAGGCTTCTTGCAGTGCCAGAGCTGCAGTGCACAAGAAGCCCCTGAGCTGCAGTGTGACAACCCACGTGGTTCTGGGGCTGCTTGCCAACCCGCAAGGTAGGATGCAGGGCTGCCAAAAGGGCAGAGACAGAAGGGGAGATAGGTGGGTGGAAGGGAGTGGGGACAGCCCCTTACCTTACTGAGGCTCGGGGCTGGGAGGAATGGCACCATAGCTTGGAATGGCTTTGATTGGGGTGGGTTCTCAGCTAACAACCAGTGAAGTTTGCTTAACGACAAAGGGGATTCCCGGGATTGCGGTCGTTAAGTGATGTGGTCACATGACATCTTGCTTTATGACCGCATCGCTTAGTGATGGAAATTCTGGTCCCAGTTGTGGTCGTAAGTCGAGGACTAACCAACCTTATACTGAGGTTGATTTCTTGGTGTGGTCTACCTGGTGGGGCTGACAAGAACCATAGCATCTTCCAGTATGACCAAATCTTGAGCCAGAGACCCATCCCGCATCCAAACCAGATGGCTTTATCTCTGTGCCTGGAATGGGAAGCAGCTAGAGTGCTGCAGTAGAGACCATCTTAGGCCTCCAAGAATGATTTGCACATATCAGTTGATGTGCAGTGCTTCTCTTCACTGGTGCAGGAGAAATTATATTAAAGGGAGGTAAGTGTTCCTCAGCTCCTAGCCTTTCTTCACATATGTCTGGAAAGTGGTCTGAAGGCCAACATGCTGCAAAGACAGAAAGCTGCTTTTGGATACATACTTGAGGATTAGAAGGAACATCCAGTTTCAGCAAACCCTTATGTCAAACATTTTCTTAGAGGGGCTAGAATAATTTCCCCTCCTGTTATTCATTGCTTTTGTTGGGATTTGTCTTTACTGTTAAGACTGCCTTTTTAGTGACAGTTACATCATCCAAAAGAGATGGGGAACTAGGAACTTGTATCAATTAGAAAGCATCAGTGTATTTTTCATTCAGATAGGGTGGTTGGAGACCTGACCTTTGTTTTCCGCCAAAAGCTAATTCTAGGTATCACAGGAGTCAGGATATAGTTTTACCTAATTTCTGCTCAAATTCCAATCAACCTAGAGTAAGGATTTAGAGTAAGCTATATATTTTGCAGATGTTTACAAGTATCTTCAGGTATCACAGCTCACTCAGCAGCAAGAGTTGCTCTAAAAGAGCAAACAAAACTTGTTCTGAAGCATATGCCTTCATCAAGCATTACAAAACTGATACATTCATTTCCGCAAAGGCTGCTTCTGAGCACCTGACATTGCAGAGGGTGTTATAAAAAGCTGGCTCACCAGGACATTATAATAAATATATCCGTTCCCTATGGGCTTCATTTTGGGGGATCAAGAACAAACACTTGCACTTATCACATCTTGCCATCTGCATCATTGGAAGACAGACCTGATAGTCCCATCCAAGGGATTTCTAGAGGGTGCAGAATTATATTATATATGGGATACAAATGTATGGCATCAGTTAATTCATCTTCTACGTCATGCTTAAATGTTAGTGGTGGACAGATGATAAAAATTTTAAAAATGGCTATTCTAGCTGAAGTCAATGGGCAGTTGAGTTGGGAGTGGTTACCTCTACAGGATGCAGAAGTCTTAGCTCTGCCTTCTGACTGAAAGAGGGGGACTTAACCTTTTCCTGCTGGGTCCATTGCCTGGTGACCAGAATGACACTTTAAGTTAAGTCCAACTGCTGCTGAGATACACCAAGAAGACAATATTATGAAATAGCATCACAATCAAGTATGCCTCTACTAGTCTACAACTTTCGACATATTTGAATTTAGCACATCTAAAATTAGTTTTCAATTGGAATACATCTCCCACAAATTTATCAGTTTATATAAAGGGATATATAATAACTATGATGTACTATTATGAAGTGGTTATATAGTCCAATACAGCAAAATGTATGGTTGAATAGTCTATCCTATCTTTAAATGTAATAGCCTGGACTTTTAGAAATCGAAGTCAAAATTTTTGGTAATATGAATTATTAAGGTAAACTAAAAATGCTTACCTGTGTAACAAATCCAAAACAATCACCCACATCTTCACTGGAAGAATCAGATTGTTCAATGTTGTTCCTTGATCGATATGATGCATATTTACGTCTATAAAGCCTTCTCTTAGACTGCATCAATGAATCTTCGGAGTCACTCTGAATTAATGACATTTTGAAAAACAAAATCAGGGACTGAAATAAGCGTCACTGAAATAATAGATTCAATTTAGTCAGAAAGTAGACAACCTTTGGACACTTGTCTTCAAAAAGGACTTAACTACTGGAAAAGCCGATATCCATGCTATTTGCCATCTTTATGGTTTAAGCTGGTTCAGTAAAGTATTGCCTGGGGCATGTGTTCTTAAATTCATAATAATTTTATTTAAACCTATTAGCTGCAATTCTATATCATTTAACATTACTTAAAGAAGCCAAGCAAATAATATACAAGGAGATGGATTTCTCTGGATTTTTGAGAAATGATTATGATTTCTCTGCCATACTTCCACACGCAACGTTAGGCTTTTTAAATTATATTTGTAATTATGCATTTAAAAAATCAGGCATTTCTTACCTTTTCTGAGGATTGAAACAACTTCCTTTTCTGCTCTATTGTATACAGCCACTTTTCTTCTTCTCCTTTTGCAATCCTATATTCTTCCTGATTTCTAACACATTATTTTGAAAATTTGTCAGAAAAAAACTCAAATATGAAAGTAGTTAATACTACTATTTATCACTAACATGTATCTGTTGGAGGACTAACAACTACGAATTAGTTTCATCTTTTACCAAAATAATGGTTCTTCAATTAATGCTTATTTTAGCCACATTCATAGTTTATCTGATTAAAAAAAGAAGATAAAAGAAAATCCAAGTCCAGAACTTTTCAATCTAGAGCACCATAAAAACTGCTTTTTTCTTTTATTGAAAAAGAACCAACAGAAAGCAAAGACCAGAAAGTATGTCCTTATAATAATACAAAAATGTCTTTAGGAAATGATATCTAAATCAACCCGAGAGATGTATAAAGCCTAAGAAGTTGAACAGTATTGTTATACCTGCCTGTGGTTACAATCTAAAATGAAGTAAATGAACAAATACTCAAAATTAGTTTCAACAGGTTTTTAGGTTAATAGGTGTGCTCACCTAAATATACTGGATGTTATTTCTGGAACAACTACTCTCCGTCTCCAAGCTTGAAGATCTCTCTCTGTAGCAATCTGACTTCTTGGAGCATTCTGGTGCATCTGACGAACACCCTCAACTTGACCGCTACGTCTCAGACCAATATTAGGAGGTGACTGAATATCTGAGCTTAGCCTGCGGAAATCTTTAAAAAGATTCATGAAGTATAAGTGAATATACATTTTTGGAACAAAAATTTTAGTATCTCCTGCTGAATAATATACCTATTACTATACACCAACAATTGTTCTGGGTAATTTAACCCTCAGGACTATGCAGTGCCTAATCTAAGCAAAGCAATATGGATTACATTTTATATGTATTAATTAGGATTGCTACACCGCTAATCTTTTTCCAACTGAGCAAGTAATAGTACCTGAACATTTGGAGATAATTAAGAACTGTGAACTCAAGTCTAAAAGACACTTTCACATGGACGGCTTTTTAACTTGCACTATGTCTTTCCCCCATATTATAATTATCTTAGCATTAGGCTGAGTCTTTGGAAAATAGCCAGAGCTTAAACAATTCAAGGAAAAGGATTTAAGAATTTTTTAAAAAAAAATTCCAAGAAGTGTAAAGCACTGCTTGAAATGTATTTTTTAGTTGTGGAAAGATCAGTAGATATACCAAGACGACAGTTGGAAATAAAATATATTTAAATAATGAATTTAGCGTGTAAATAACAAATACATCAAAAAATAAATTCATAAAGACCATGTAAATAAAACATCTAAAGAACAGTACAAAAGCAAAATATAAAATACAAGCAGTGAGTAAAAGAACACCACAAAATACCATATAAAAATGATTAACTACTGCAATAGGTACAAACATAAACTTTATAAATGATACGACAAAATATAGCATGAATTAATATGTAACCCAATTATTTGAATTAGGAAATAATAAGGTCTCAAGAGAAGAGTTTGTAAAATCAGTCCACTGAAGAAAATTTAAAAGAAAATTAATCTTAACATTTTAGGATAAAAATTATTAGAAAGTGTTTAAAATAATAAATAAACCCAAATATCAGAAGGCAAAGAGAAATACATTGTATAGTGAATCCAACAAACCTGTTCCCAGAGAAGCCAAGAGAAACTGTTTAAGAAAGTTGTGGACTGTCTCCAGTCAAATGTAATATACCTCCCCTAAATATATCAACCACCAGGAATATCTTAAGATTATTGCAGCATACAAAAGATTGGTGGTTAACAGAAATAAATATTCAAGATACTAGTAAATGGCAGAAGTTAATACTTTATTCTAAACTTCAATGAAGTACCGACCTCTTCTAGGTGTTCCTTGTCCATACTGTGGACTAGCTGAAACAGTATCCTGGTCTATGCCAGTTCTTCGATCTTGCAATTGCTGTAACTGTCTAATCATGCCATCAAGTATGCTGGGCTCCAGACTCTGTTCATCCTGTTCAGCAGTCTGTTGTCCTATTACTTGCTCTACAACCTCTCCATCACCTTGCAAAATTTAAAAGCAAATGTTTATTTCAGTATGAAGAACAATTATTTAAATGTCAGTCCCATTCTCAATAAAACCAGCCAACAGTATTACAGACCCTTGTAGTTGAAAGGGGCCATTTATACTTCTGGGAAAAGTATTCACCCCTTTTGGATTTTCTGAACAAGCACCAAATTTTGATACTATTTGTTCACTCTGACTCCACTTCCTTTATATATTAGAATCACACAACATTCTAATAATATTCAGATCCAAAGGTACACAAAAATTCAAAAAATCTGAAAGGAGGTGAATTCTTTTTCACAGAACTGTGAAGCTCAATCACCTACTCAATATAGAAATTCAAATTAAAACATCCCGAACAACTGGCTGTCCAGCTGCTCCTTAAACACATCATATATTTCATCCACAGCATTCTCATAATCTATTAAGGAAACTGCCCAATCAAACTGAAGTAACATTAGCATGAGAAGACCTGTTCTTGTTAACATTAACACTTAATAATCACATAGGTTTATTATGAACTGCTTTAAAAACTTCCCAGATATTGATATCAGACTAACTAGTTTCTAATTTCCTGGATCCTCCTTTTTCTACTTTGTAAAGACAGAAAGCATCTACTATCTTCCAGTCATCTGGTATTTCGCCCATTCTCCCAAATTTCTCAAAAGAAACGGTCAGCAATTCTGCCAGACCTGAAGGTATTCCTTGACTATGCAAAACTGTGCTAATTAAGCTAATAGATAAATATAATAATACTTATCTTCTGCATAACTATATTTACCCAATCCAAAATCTTCCATGATTCTAGATTCCTCCATTTTTTAGTAATATTACCTGTTAGTAGTACTACATTTTGTTCTTGTTCCGTTTAACACTTCTTGCAATTTGCTATGTAATTCCTCAGGGTCTTCCCTCATTGAATCAATAGTAGGCACATATATAACAAATGCTGATAATCACTACATAGTTACAAATTCTGAAAGATACTATCCTGTCATCATTGGATTCTAGCTGAGTACATGCTTAGTAATGTTCTTGCCCTGAATAATATTAGTATCCATTCCTGTCCAACTACGTTCATTTTCTTCTAAAACCCTACTTAACATGCTTCATTTCAACAATGACAATCTAGTTTTCCTTGGTTCACACTTTTCATTTTCCCTGTTGCAACTGTATGTGCAAAACCTGAGTTCTGGCCATGTCACCAATCCAGGGCTAACTGTAAAAGTTCAGTGTTTTTCCTCAATAACTAAACTACTGCCTTCTAACCTGGGTATCTCATCAATTGACATCCAAACTTGTCTAATGAAATGTTCCAGTTACACAAGTTTTTTTTTCTTTTTGGCACAATAAAAAGTAGTTTGCTTTCTTCTATATTTACTTAATTAAATATAGAAAAAAATAATATTCTTCTATTATTAATAAATATTAATTTATTTAAATATTAATACTATTAATTTAATTTAATTTAATTTAATTTAATTTAATTTAATTTAATTTAGGGGTTACTTCCCCTAGGTGGTTTGGCTTTCCTTGTGCCTACCGTTACCCTCTTAGCTTTACAGGATCCTCTCTTTCTGACTTTACTAGCATGGAGACCCTGCCAAGAACTACACTCTTGCCAGCATGCAAACCAAACAGAGATGAATAAGGGAAAGAGGTTAGCAGCTATGGCCAGGATCCAAAATTCTTGTAACATGCACCTCATAATTTTTTCTCTGTCTTGCAAAAACGCATCTTTACAAAACCCTTGCTTTTTAAAATCTAACTTCAAAAAAGCAGTTTAAATACTGTATTTATCAGTGTATAACACGCACTTTTTTCTTAAAATCTGGGGCTGAAATCCTAGCTGTGTGTTATACACCGATATGCGTGTTATACGCCTATGTATAAGCCCCTGTATAAGCCCTGAGGCTTCTCACCTCAAGCGGCAGGGCTGAGAGAGTGGAGTCTTCATTTGAGCCGGGGCTGTAACTGGGGCTGCAACCGCATGCTTCCCACCTCCCCCTCCAATTGATGGCACTTAAAACATGCCTCCTCTGCTTGCAGTCTTTAGTAACATCACCCACGTGGTCTGGCACTCAGTGTGTCAGAGCAAAGCACCGGCGCTTTGCTCTAACTCATTACTACAAGCTGGTGATGTCACTAAAGTACCACGAGCTTCCCTCCTCTCTTTGCAGCGTTCTGGTGTGTAGTAATGAACCAGAGCAAAGCGCCAGTGCTTTGCTCTGACACACTGAGTACCAACCACGCGGGTGATGTTACTAAAGACTACAAACAGAGGCGGCATACGAACTGATTTATGAAGACAGTAGCAGTGAAAGCAGAAGGGTTCAGTTTGATTTTGAAGATAGCAGTGAAGACAAAGAGTTTCATGGTTTCCAAGATAACAGTGATTCTGTGATGGACTGGAATGGTGGGAGGGGAGTAAAGAATGTGCTCTCATCTCCAGAGGAGTGAGGAAGAGATAA